ACGTAAAGATGTCTATGGTGTTCTTAAGGGAGGGTAATTACTGGCAGAATGCGTTGACCTCCTATGGTGAACAATGAAAACAGTGGATAGGCCACACAGGGCTAATATTTAATGCAGGAGGGCAGCAAGCCAAAAATCTTAATGATGGTCCTTTGGGGCGCATTCTCTGAGATGAGAAAGCTGTGTAGCGGAATAATTCATGCTTCTATGGGGGGAGCATGGGGTTTCTAAAGTTCCACAGAGTATTTTAACATCCTCTCCCATGAATCAAGACTATAAAGAGAAGTTCCCACGCTCTTATTGCTGGGTGAGAAATTGAATAATAGCCCTGTGTGAAGCAACTCCGCTCCTTCTCAAGCTCTGGTTTCATTCTGGACGATTGCAGTGTCCAAATCAAGGCAGCATCTTAATTTGGAAAATTCAGACATTCTGCCTGAACTGAAATGCTTAATTTTAGGGCCACTTCTATCTTGAACAAAGGAGCCTCTGCATGTTCATCTATAGATCTAAGTAAGGCTCCCACTGTGATCTGGCATTTTGAAAAGGAGCACTGCTTTGATTCAGAGGGGTACTTATTCAGATTTTTGTTAAGTTGAGTCCCTTCCAAGCTCTAAACAGCCTTACTGAATAATAAAAATTGTGTCTGAGTGCACATGTTGGGCTATGTCACAGTGTAGCTTGGTTGTAGCTTCATGTGTTATGTACATCTAAACAGCGTGGTTTAAAACCATTGTTTATGATTTAATGCAGTGTGTGAATACAGCCAATGCTTGCTCATTCAAGAAATCATTATTGAATGGTTCTTCAAGAAGCCATTTTTAAAAACTATCATGGCTTAGTTCATCCTGATGATATGAAGATGTATTTCGGCAGTCGGTAAAGGATGAGGCTTTCAAAATGTCTTTCAACGGGGAAGAGAATTTCAGTATTTCCATTAAGGTTGTACAACATAGCAGCTTTGAGCTCCTTTTCAGGCACTCAGTGCCTTTTCCATGTTGGGTTCATATAATCAAAAATCCTTTCCCTTGGAGTTTTGATTGGCATCCTAACTTTTAGTTTTTGATTTTGTTGCTGTTTTTGTTTTACTTTACCGTTGTTTTTATAAAGTAAGTTATTATATGATGTTATTGTATCATTTTTTTTTTTAATGCTGTACCTCTTCCTGAAAGAAAGAGATGTGGCGGAGTCAAGACATAACTTTGTAATGTGGTAGGGGAGGGGGGGGGGGGGGGAGAGAAAAATTTAATTTCCAGAGGGTCAGAGAAGGAAAATCAACTAGATGAATGATGTTCTAACAACTTTAAATGCTGGTGACAGGGTTGACATCATCAGGCATTGTAGAGAGTAAAGAAGATGACCTTGACAGAGATATGCAGAAGCTGTTGCCTAAGCAAAAGGGGCTGAAATATTTTTTAAGTTTAGAACTTCCAGATAACATTTGGAGGGGCTCAAACCAACACCTCTCTAATTCACTGGAGGAGGAGGAGGAGGAGGAGGAGGAGGAGGAACACAATCAGACATGCAAGATTCTGTTGTTATAGCCAATCGCAATAAAAGTAGTTTTAGCTGTCCTGTGGAGTTGGCTTCATGGTTTGGTCAACCAAGTGGGGCTGACAGGCATCTTCCAAGGATCACAACCCAGCCTGGGGGATGCACTGCCAAGCTGCAGAGGCTGCCTGATCCTGCTCTGTCATTTCCTTGCTGTCACTTTCTGTTCATATGCCCAGCTCCAAGTGAATGAACATTGATAGGAACAGCGAAAAGGAAAAGCTGTGGTTGCATCTTGGAGGGTGGTAGGGCAAATCAATCCCGGGGGGACAAGGAAAGCAAAAGGTCAGAAACAATAGCAAGGAGGTGAAGCTACACAGGCAGAAGTTCAAACAATTGTCGGCATTTCTCCCCGCCCCCACCAAAACCTAGAAGCTGTTAATGAGAAACTCTCCCTAACATCTTTTTAACAAGGCATCTCAGACAAAATCAATTCTGTTTTTTCTGTAAACCCCCCAGAGTCACTCAGCAGTGAGATGGGCAGTGACAAATTTGAAATGTAAATAAATAAAAAACAGAGCTTTTTCAAGATTAAATGCCAGAAATGTGAAGCTGCCCTTCGCATTTCTCACTGTAGCATAGAGATCAAGGTGTTGGATTTGTAGGAGGGAGATCCAGGTTCAAGTTCATCCTTAGACCTAGGAAGATCACTGATGGCTTTGGGTCAATCACTGTCTCCTAGCCCAAACTAGAGCTGGGGTGGTAATATAATACTTGATGTACTAACTTGAGTTCCTGGTGAAAAAGTAGGATATATCTAAGTCGAATGAATGAATGAATGAATGAATGAATGAATGAATGAAAGAAAGAAAGAAAGAAAAATCTATTTACCAGTTTAAAAAGTTCTGATTACTACAAAGGATGCTGAAGTAGTTTAAGGAATCCTAAACATAAAGAAATATAAACATTGCAAGTCAGAATAAAAAGTCAGAATATGCAGTAAAGTTGCTTATTTTTGCCATCAGCATCATAAACCAGCCCAAAGGTCGTTCATAATGTACCTTCTTAGTATTAAGCAGTGATGGCTTCACTCTGTACCACATTATCAATCTTCTTTGCCTCCCTTTCATCCAGGGCTGCTTGGATAAAATCTGAAGGTAGACCAGGCATTACAAAATGCCATTAATTGCACATAACTCATTTCCAGAGTGGTGTGCATACTCCATACTGAATTATTCAGCATAAATCCTTAGACATTCTGGAAATGTGATTCTGATCGTAGAGCCAAGTGATTTTTGAAAAGCTGGGCTTTGGGTGGAAGATTTAGGGCTTTTTTTAGGTATTAGGGTTGCAGCTTAGTCATACAGCCTGTGTTTTTCCATGTAGAAGCTATGTTTGGCCTGTCCAGGTATAACGGAGAAGACACTGCTAGTCATATCAATCATACTAAGTTAGACAGTCCAATCGGCTAACTCACCATAAGGTCTAAACATTGGGAAAGATGGTATCTTAGTGCAGAGCATCTGCTTTGCGTGTTAGAAGACCCAGCTTTGGCCCTCAGCATCTTAAATAACACTTGGAAAATCTCTGTTTGAAAACTTGTACAGTGGTCACCCATCAGGTGCCCTCCAAAAATGCTGAACTTTAACTCCCCCCCTTTTTTTTTGTCGTTAGCCATGCCTGACGGGAAGTGAAATCCCAAAGGCACGGAAGTGCTGCGCTGTGCTGGTGTACAAACAGTCATGCGCTAGATGCCCCCAATTACTGGGTTCCATAATTCAACTTCATGTGTTTTGAAGTCCAAAATGCAGAATCTACCTTTTCAGAAAGGAATAGCTTTCTTCCTATGTTCAGGAGCATATTTCAGGCCAACTAAGCCATGCAGGGCCCATAAAACAGAGGTCTCCTTCCCACTAATAGAGGAGCTGTCTTGTCAATAACAGCCCAACTTGCTGCTGATGGTGTTATCCTATGTTCGCTCTGTTGTAGACCATCTTGCCTTGGGCCTTGGACATTTTGGTCAGGCTTCCTGAGGGGCCAAATTTGGAAAGCACTCATTTCTTCCCTCAGCTTTCTGTCTGGCACAGAAACCTTTCTTTACGATGGAGAAGAGGACAAAAGGAATTCTGATTTTGACAAGACCGCAAAGGCCCTGGTTTGATGACTGGTAACCAAGGCAACCGGGCTTTCCTTGAAATAATTGCTTACTGCACTGACAACTCCCACCTGCCCCCTCCATTTTGTGTAGAAAATGGACTTGCGTTTCATTAGAAGGGGCATTGTGAAAACACAAAACAAAGACAAGAAAAGGAGCTGGCAGTTTCACCACTGAACAAGGGCATCAGTCCGGCACTCTTAGCAAACTGTTGAACAAGACGTTAGAAATGGCTGCATCCATCTTACTCACCCTTGCAGATTCATTCAGATTCCCCGTTATCTCTGGGACTCAGCTAAAAAAGGGGTCGCCTTGCTTATTAGCTTGTGCTTGTCTAGTTAGGCAAATATTTGGGCAGATGGACCAGTTCTCTACTCCGTCTGCATGCCCCCTCCCCAGAGGAGCTCATGAAGATGATTAAAAAAATAAAATTGACGGAAGAAATGTTATGGTGCAGATCGCTTAAAATGAGCCTGGGATCTCTAAATTAGCTATGGTGTGTGCATTCATTTTATTCTGCAAAGGGTGCAGATATAAACACACCCCAATTTCAAGGCACGTCAACAGGTGCCACTGTGTTTCAATATATTTCTCGGAAAAATATTACTGGAAAGCCTTCTTGTAAAGAGGATACTCGAGGGAGGGTAGAGAGGGAGAAAGTTTGATGACACTCCTATGTTTAAAAATAAAATGATTATATCTTGCCTTTATTTTGTACAACCAAAGGCAATGTACATAATACATAATGGTTTCCCCACAACAACCCTGCGAGGTGGGTTGGGCTGAGAGAGAGACTGCCCCAAAGTCACCCAGCTGGCTTTCATGCCTATGAGAGGACTTGAACTCGCAATCCATCAGTTCCTAGTTCAGCACCTTATCATTACATCAAGCTGGCCATCATTCTTCGTCTTTCCTGCCACTTAGTGGTCACTTGGATTTTTGCATCCAAGGTAAGGTAGCCCTTTTTTTTTTTTTTAAAGTTCCTCTTAAATCAGTTTTAACTTATTGGTAATATAAGCCCACGGGAGGACTACTTTAAAGAATCTTGTGGAAAATAGCTATAAGGAAGAAAAATCATATTTTACATAGTTGGGGGTGGGGAGGTAGAAAGGTGAGAAGGGAGAATAAACTTTAAAAAGATGAAAACTCTTCAGATACTTAATGCATAATTACTCATCAAGGATTCTGGTTCTGGTTCCAGAGTATATTTTTTTCCTGACCCGTTTTAAAGATGGAGCTACCTACGACTGTCTAAGTGTTCCTTTCTCTCTCTTTATTTCTTTCAAGACCTTCAACTCAAAATGCAACCTTGTCTTCCTGAAATATCAAAATGCCTATGTCTTGTGATTTTTCTCAGCTCAGCTGTTTCAGTTGACCTGGAAAAGAGGAGGCCAGACCACTTGTGGACCTGAGTGAATAGTTACTGACCGGGAAATGGCTGGAGGTGATCCCTAAACCATGAGATTTCTCTGTAGATTCTGAGGACCCTCCAATGCAACTGTCAACGCCCAACCCTTCCTACTACACTGAGGTTTCAGAATAAATTTGAATGTGAATTATAAATAAGTTTAACATACATATATGTGTGTGTGTGTGTGTGCATGTGTTAAACATATATAATTTACACACACACACACTAAAAAAACCCCTCCAAAATTCCAGTCCCACCTACATATCATCCAACCCATCCCTGGGCTAACTAATCCACCAGATCAGAATTTTCTTTCCCTTGATATTTTTTCAAAGAACATTGTTGAAATGAATAATTTAGTGCCCACCTTATTCATTTACTTATCACCGAACAGTAGTTGATCAAGCCTCCCCTTCAAACTACAGCAATATATCTAACTCTACAGATCTATGCTTTTAGCATCTCATCCTAGTGTTGCACATCTGGATTTTTCCAGCAGGGCCCCAATTTAGAATTCTATTAAGAAAAGCCAAGACTCTTTTAACACATTCAGGCTGTAATTTTATGCCCGCTCACTTGGAGGAAACCCAGTGTAACTCAACAGGAATTACTTCTGGGTAGATACAGAGATAAGATAAAGGTTCCTTTATTACTGCAAGCCCCTTGAGACTCCTCCTGGAGAAATTGCTATAGTAACTTCCTGAGCTCTTAGTTTCATGTGAATGGCAATGGTGTCTCTCTGCCCTGCAGAGGAACTATTCAATCCTTACTCCTTGAAACATGCTTAGTGGGTATTTCTCTTTTCAGTCACTGAGAGAACAATGCTTTGAGGAAAGGGGCTGTGCAGAAACTCCTGCTTTGAACTTGCTCAGGTTGCATGTCACAATTTGGAAAGAGAGGAGTGATTTGGAAAAGCTGCAGTCAACCAGCTACAAATATGAGTGATTCTTCATGAGTTTCTGTGGAGCTAAAGAAATTAGTTTCTTTGGGTTCATTTCCATGCTGATCTGAACTTGATATGATATAGAGTATTGGATCAACCATGAATGATAAAGGCTCCTATTTTCTCATCCCATTTTCTCCATGTAATTCCTGTTAAACAGAGAGAGAACTCTTGGCATAGTATCTGTATTAATCAGCGTGACAATTCAAGAAACAGTGCAATTGTTTTTCCAATGGCATTGATTACAAAAGATTGGGATCTTCCCAATCTCCAGAATTCATCAATGGCAAACTGCATTTGCATATGGCCAAAAAAGCTACATCAAAGTGTCCATGAAGAAGACTTGATCTGATAGTCAAAAAGGTAATGAGTATTATCTGCACCTTCTATATTTTTCCCCTCTGGTCTCATTCTTTATTATTCTTCCACAAGCTCTGTGTGTGTGTGTGCGCGCACGCCTATCTCAAGCTAATACTAGGGGTCATAATATTATCCTAAGAGGATTCTATGACATATTACATTTGTTAGTTTTAAGGTGCAGCAAGACTCTTTGTATTCTCCTGGACCTTGTTAAAATTCTATGTGCTAGTTAAGATGAGTGCCTAGGGCAAGGGGAGGCAAATGATGGAAAGTACATTGCAACACCATGATGCAATGTAAGAGTAGACCTTGCACTGTGATGTCATCATGGATGTTTCATCATTTTAATGGAATCTTAGTTTGCTGTGGACATCTCTGGTTGGAAACATGACCAATTCGAGGGATTAGCTTCTTTCCCAGAGACTGAGTCACTGTACCATTACATTTAGTATTGTTTGTTCCAGTTCATGCAGTTCAGTAGCAAAGATATTTCTCATTACCTTGCCTGTTAGCAAATTTGGGAACTTTCTTAAGCAGGGCTTGTGGTTGGTTTCTGCGTTTGTTAATGAGTACCAGGTACATAAAGACACCCTCCATGGAGTATTCAGCCTTCCATTTCACATATTGTTGTTGATGCAATAGATCCAGAGCTGTTTATCATGAAAGAGATGGTTGGGTGGGGAGAGAGAAGAACAAATGCAAACTTGGCTTTAAATCAGCAGATAAATGGCTTCTATCAAATAACTGAATTTGTGTTGGAAAAATGTTCCTTTTTTTCACTACCTGTTCATATTTGATCTGAAAAAGGAAGAAGGAGGAAGAATTGCTTTCAGGATTACTGTTCAAAGAATAGAATTCTGATGACCATTTCATGGGCTGAGTGTACTTGTTTAATGTATTTAATGTAATGTATTTAATGTAATGTGTTTAATGTACATGCACTTGTTTAATGATCAGGTATCCAAGGCTGTGCATGAATCTTGAACGTCTGTTGAATCAACATCGCATGTTCTGTTGAGCTGTCCATTGTCCCATTCTTGGCTCTCTGAATTAATATCCCTCCTCTTTGTAAATCACTCCAGCTGTTCTTTGACAGAAAATACATTTTCCCCAATTAACCAATACATTGTTAGGAACCTCAAAAAAAGTATTAAAGTATTGTTCAGTCATGATCATTGAAAGGAAATTCTGAGTCTAATTAAGTTCTCATAGTTTTTCCCCATGTTATAAAGCAGTTAGAGTAGCGGGCTGGCAGAGAGGGATGGAAAACTAGTGGAAAAGAAATAAAGTGGGGGATGCTGAACAAGAACATTTCTGGCTCACTAGCTCCCTGAACAAATTTATCCCAATCCAATATCTTATTTGTAAACTAAGAAAGAAAAGCATGCCATTACAAGCAACCAACAGAAGCAGTTTAATAGAAAGTCTTTGCCTGGCTCTGAATGGGCATCAAACTCAAATCAAACTGGCTCTATTCAACTTTCAAGGCTATAAATTGAGCCAGTCTGAGTCAGAAAGTTGATTCTGTTTGGAAAGAAAGGTGCTTTTGCACATGTATCAATTCAATCTGAATCATCAATCTGATTGAGGGAGTCGATTGGGGGTTGGGAAGAGCTGTCTTAGTCTGTGGCAACAAAACCAACAGAGTCTGGTAGCACCTTCAAGACTCACCAACTTTATTGGGGTATGAGATGTCTTGAGCAGCAAAATCGTATGCCCCAATAAAGTTGAGTTTTAAAAGTGCGATCAGACTTCATGCCTATTTTGGAATTCTAGTTCAACTGTTTTGAGATCAAATCTCTGAATCTATGTCAATGCTGCCTTATTGCATGAGGGAGTTGCTTTATGTACACTCATGAAAAACAGTAATCCGATTGGTCAAGCCAATCAATTAATTGATCTGCAGGAATGGGGAATTTCTCGTATTAGAGAATTCAGAAATTGCAGCTCCCATCAGCCTCAGCCGCAGGGTTGATTGTAATCCATCAGCTGGAAGGTGATTATTTCTATTTTTTCCCATTCCACAAAACTGACGGGAACTAAATAATTAACAGCAAGTTATAAAAACACCCATCAGTAATTGAAGCAAATTTTGTATTGAGCTATTCGCTATCAACACCTGCTAAAATAATTCAGGCTTATAAAGCATTTCAAAAATTCAGGCATATAAAGCATTTCAAAAATAGCTCACCCTCTTATCAGTCAGAGACAGTAGATAAAGGTAATGTTTCAAAACAGCTCCTTTCATAAACATAATTTAAATCAATAGAGTAGCACAATGATACAGAAGTAATGCTCTATGCATTTGCTCTGTTATGGAACGCTATCAGTTGAGCGTTGGAAAGTCTACAGTGGCACAGTGAAAGGTCATCCCTGGATAGCCAGAGAAGACTAGTTTGACCTGAGTATTAACCTGTATTTTGAGTGGCCCAGCTGGGGAGTTTCAACAAGCAATTTTACTAAAGGCTTTGGTTTCCCAATGCTTGGGCTGGCTGATGGGCTGCCAGGCCTGACATATAAAAGGAGGAAAAAGAAACAAGAAACTGGCAACCCTCAATCATTGAAAAGATGAGTTTCTCCCTGTCTCATCAAGTGGGATAATCTGGATTTGGAAGAGAGAAACAATACTGAGACTTGGCCCTGGTTTTTACCTGGACTGACTACCAAATCAGATGTGGCCTGGGAGATCCATGATCTCTTTAAAATAATTTCTAAGTTATCTCGATTGGAATATCAGGAAAAGAACTATCTAGGTTTTTTTCTGTTCTGGGTTTGAAGAGGAGGAAGAGGAGTATAAGGAGCTTTACATTCTTTCCTCAAGAGGTTTAGCAAATAGAAGAGTAGGATTTTGGGTAGGGTCTGAACTGCCATAGGCATGCAGTGACCAAAAGTCCATTGCAAAATCCAATAGAACAGTGAACTTGCTATCTGAGTGCTAAATCTTATACATGCCTTTCCCATATACAAGATGGAGGTTTTCACAGGTTTTTTTTTTTTTTAAAGTTCAGGCTTGAAACTTTAGAAATTTTTTGGAGGGGACCAGTGACTAAGAGAACATTCCACAAATGTAGAGAGTAAGGAAGATGACCTTGATGGAAACATGCAAGAACCATTACTTAGGTAAAAGGGGCTGAAACATTTTTTAAGTCCAAAACTATGAGATAACATTCGGAAGTGTCCCAGGCAGACATTTTCACTGACCTATAAGGAGAAGGAGGAGGTACAGCACAATCAGACTTGCACCATTTTGTTATTGTAGCCAATCTTAATAAATGTAGGTATAGCCTTCCTATGGAAGTGTTTCCTGGTCTGGTCTACCTAGTATGGCTGACACCAAATGGCCCAAAGCAATTTAGTAGGCTCAGTGGGTAATAATAAATACTGATTGTTGGGGAGAAAAGTGGAGGAAGATAAAATGGAAAAGAACATATAGAGAATAGAAAATACATAGTATTGCAGATTTCATTGGGTTCTGTTTGCCACCATGTTGATGAATACAGAGGAGTTCAACGATATAATTAAAAACTCTAGATACTGTGACCATCTCACCCCACTAATGTTGTTATAAGTAGATAAGTTGCTTGAGTAGATATGTTGGTTGTTTTCATCCATATCTACAGGATATGGTAAAAATGTCAAGATGGTGGCCAACACTGCAGTCAAAACTCCTAATTTATTTTGGCTGCTCTTGAAAAGCAGAGTTGAACCTTTCGAGTACTATGGAAGCCTACTAGGAAACCCAGGACTGTAAATTAAATAGAGATTAAAAAAAAAAAAAAACCTCCTTGAAACCACTTCCACATTGTTGCCAAGAAAACAACATGGATGTGTTACATATGAATTCACCTCCCTAGGAGATGAACTCAACTTGAATGAGACTTACATCACCATTATTTAACATTAATCCCCCTTTGACCACATTAGGCATGTACATACATAATAACACCAAACCTAGCTGCATCAGAAGAAGTGGCCAGGAGATCCTATAGTTTTATGGAGATGTGATTATACCATGAAATGTACAACACTCATATGTACACCTCTTGGTCACCTTAGCAATAAGGTAAGTGAAGAACTTCATGTCTCACCTGTGTTGATTTTGCCATCATCTTTTCCTTTAAATTTCTTTGCAGAAACATGATTAAAAGTTCAAAAAAGCAAAAAGCAAAACAACACCTTGGTAAAAAAGTAATGGTAATACAGATAACATAACTAAAGATGCAGTTCTAAAATTCTGTGTTTGGTATTTAGCACCAATAAAATTTTAAGGTTTGATAAAGTCCTTTAAACCCAAAGATGTGCTTTGGTGCAAGTTCTCCCATTTATATTTGGAATTTTGACCTAAAGGCTGATTGTGAGTTAAATCCTCATACAGCACAATTACATAAGTGCCTAGTCAGAAATAAGCCCATTGAATCCATGGGGACTTGCTCCCACATTGCAATATGAGAGTAAGTGCCATTAAATTCAATGACATATCTGAGGACCATCTGTTAAAGACACAGTAGTTGCACCAACTGTGCTACCTCACCAATGCTCATTTTGCAAGCCCCATCCCCATCCTTAACTGCTGCTCTTGGTGAGTACGATCATCTGAAGTTGTATTCCACTTTATTCCTCATAATATAGTTCAGAATATGAGACTGTAGACTAAATGGTGACTTGCCCTATAGTATGCATTACTTCGTTTAATTCAAAATATGATAAATCAGATTTGGTGGTCTTTTCAACACATTGGGTTAAGTAGGGCTTTGCTTCAAGTGAGGTGAAACTAAAGAAGATGGGATTCTGTGGTCCCACCAAGGATACTGATTTAGTCTCACCAGTACAGCCATCCAATGGACATGAATGATGACGCAGTTGGGTTGAATACCAGAAGGGGAAGAGGAGCCAAAGTATTTGGCTATGAGAGAGCTTTGTATAAATAAATAGAATAAAGATCTACTCAAGAGTTGTTTGATACTTCAGATGGCTTGCAGTCACAGCAGACTTAATGAGCACCAGCTGAATAATGGTGGAGTACCTATAGTCCATGGTATAAAGCTCTCTGTTTGAAAGTAGCTTGCTTCTTGAAGCCATATCAGTTGCTTGTGAGTCTGTGAGATTTACTGCCCTAGTGCTTTGAACTGTGAGTACTTGATAAACCTCTAGGTGTATTATTTCTTTATTTGAGTGCTGCCTTTCACTTTCATTTTTGCTGTCTTGAATTACAACTAGGATGGGCTGATTTTCTATTGACTTCTGGAGTAGTCCACTTATTACTCTTCTGTGTATCCTTTTGACAGAATATTTCCTTTTGGAATTAAACGTTTGATGGTATGACTACAATCTGCCTCTCCCAGTCTTTATGCTTGACCTTGTGTAGAATATCCTTGGCTTCTATCCCCAAATGGCATCATTTATTCTAGACAAGCTTTGTCTCTGGTGATCTATGAAAATTATTCTGTACATTGCAAAAAGTGTTATTTTCAACACTCTTCTCTTGAAATCTCCAGTGGTAGCTTCTACTGACTACTTATCCAGAATAGTGCTATTAATATTTATAAGCTTTCAATAATGCAGACATTTGTGTATCTGGTAGACCATATGCTGCCCTGGGTCTTCTCAAAACAGTTGAACCAACAGAGCTCTCCATTACACCAAGGTGTTATTTTTTAGGAAGGGTGAAAGAAGAGGGTAGGGTGAACAGCTCCCACCCCCACATGTAATCCTCTTCATTAATTACCACAGCACATGTATAGTCATCACCAGCTCAAAATATATTTTAAAAAATCACTTTCCTCTTAAAATATGAGAGGTTTTTTCCTCTCTCTCTGTCTTTGCAGTTATTTTGATTGAACCAGTGTGCCCTACAGGGATGGCAAGCATTTGGGGAATTTTTCTTTTAAGAGAAATGTGTTTCTAAACTTTACCATCCATGTTGTGGGTGATGGGACTGAGAAAGCAGTGGGGAGAGACAGACTGAAAATTTAAATTCACGAATCTAAAATAATGAATAATGCATAGCAATAAATGGCTCAGGGAAAACCATTTGGATAACACTGAATGTAGGTTAAAAGTAATAATATGCCTGAGCAGCATTCAGAATTACCTTATGAGAAGGGCGTGTCCAGAGCTTCAAGCCAATTTATCTTGGAGATTAAAAAAAAAAAAAATCTACAGATCTATTTAAGTAAATATCCCATATTTATTGCAATCTGCCAAAGGTTCATTAATTGGGAATTTTATAAATGAAAGTTCTGAAGCTGCTTGTCCATAATAGAAAATGAATGGAGGTAAATCATTGTGAAATGACTTCTTTCTTTCTTCATGTGGAGAAAAAGGATGACCGTCTCTCTCTCTCTCTCTCTCTCAATGTGTGTGTGTGTGTGTATTTGTTAAGGCAACCATGGTCATAGCTAACTTCGTTTTAGGGCTCTCTTCCCAAAGAAGCGATTTTTCCCCTCCGCATGGTGCTGAAGGGACAGCGACGGCACGCAAATAGGAAGAGCCTTCTCCTTCCACGAGAGGATCGACTTGTCCACCACCATCTATGGTGCTTAGGCAAGGTTTGAATAGGGCTCCGTCCACAGATGAGGGCAGGGCAGGGAGGGGCCGTGTGATGCACCGTCCTTAATAGGGAAATGCAGCCCTGTTCTGCATAAAGAAGGATGGATCAAAATTCTTTTGTAGGACAATGGTTTTCTTTGATCGGTTCAAATGTCACAAACTTGTGTGCAAGCTTTTGGGTTCTGCAGAGCTCCTGAACTAGGAAGAAAAATGAAAGGGGAGGGGAAAGGCTGCAAAAAGTGGGGAGGGAGCGCACGATTTTGAAACCCTGGTGTTAGCCTTTAGTCCCAGTCTTAAAACAAAATTCAGTATTATAGAGCATGTGTTTTGCACACCGGCAATATTGCGTTGAGGGGTGGGGTGGGATGGAGAAGGATTTCAGGTAGCAATTGAATTGGAAAAGGCACATCACCAAGACTTTAAAGAGCTGCCTGGAAAAATAGATTTGTCTTCCTGGGCCTGGAGTTTTCAGGCATGTTTGATTGGTCATGTTAGGCACGTGGGAGAGTAGGAGTTGGTTCCAACCTATCTGAAGGGCACCAGGTTGGGGAACACTGGAGTGGACAATATACAAGATGGCCATAGGAACACATGCACATTCATGTACCCTCCCAGCAGCTGCTTTCTCTTTAGCATCCGCTCCACACAAACAAGACCCCGTTGGCTGCCTTGTCAAGGTCAAATTTTTGTGTTCTGAAAATTCTCCCTCCCTTCCCCACCCCCGGCAAGAAATTCTCTTCACTTGCTTTGTCAGAGGCGTCTCTTTCCATGGCCGCGAGCAGAGGGTGCGGGTGGGGGGAGCAGTACCTTAAGTCACTGCAGTAGCACCCCATCTTTTTGACTGGGCAATTCCACCCCACTCTTCCTCACCGATCCCTGCCCCTGAAGTGGGTCTCTCTTCCCACTCGTTCCCGGAAAAGGGTTGTCTGCAAAAAAAGAGCTGCTCGGGGCAGAGGGGCGTGGGATCCGAGGATTCCCACGCGCGGCTTGCCCATGAGTTGGGTGTGGCTGAATTAGGAAAGCCTTCTGCCTTCAAGGAACGAGGAGGGGGGATCAGCTTCTGCGACACCCCCACCCCACCCGCTCCTCTTCCCTACCACTTGTAGGAGCTGCAGTGCGCCGGGGCTTCCCCCTCCAAGCTGCTGGTCCAGTCCAATTCGCCCATTTCAATTGTCACCTCACTTCCGGATCAATCCTTAATTTCTGCTGCAGAGTGAGTGGGGCTTTCTCTCCCTTTCCCTTCCTCACCCTTCGCTCTTTTCCTGCCCACTCCCCCTCCCCTTCCTCCTCATCTGGCTGCTGGGAACTTGAACCCAGCCCTCCCGCCGGCTGCGCTGCCCCGCCCATCTTCGCCCGCCCCTCCACGCCTTTCCCAGCGATCACCTCCCAATTTCGCGTCTCCCAACGCCGGGCTCCCCTTCCAACCTCGCCTGCCTGGTATCTATGAGGGTGAGGAGGGGCAATACAAAAGGCTCGCTTCTGCCCACCCCCGCCTTTGCCAAGGGCCGGAGGCTTGGCCGCTAGCAGGTTGCCTTCTCCTCGCCTCCGGAGGATAACAGAGAGCCAGGCGAGGGCGAGGCGAGACGCGCCCCGGGGCGAGCCATGGCCGAGAAGAAGCAGGCGGCCAAGCCCGGTGGCGAGGAGGAGGAGGAGGTCCCAGCCTTCTTCAAAAACCTGGGCTCCGGCAGCCCCAAGCCCAGACAGAAATTCTGTGGCATGTTCTGCCCGGTGGAAGGCTCCTTGGAGAACAAGACCATCGACTTCGACTCCCTCGCCGGGGGACGTGGCTCTCCTTCGGGCAAGATCGTGGCCAAACAGCGGGACGTGGCTCACCTCGGACCAGAGGCTCCCTCCGTCTCCTCGTGGCAAGGCAGGAAGGTGGAGATCCGGAGAGCCAGCGGCAAGGAGGCTTTGCAGAACCTGAACGACAAGGTGAGTTGGAGGCCGGGAAGGCGGGGAGGGTGGTTCCCTTCCCCCCCCCCCCCCCCC